ATGTGAGGCTGTATTTAGGCCAACTCTATCATTAAGATTGAGCTTTCATAGTTCACGATTTGATTATTGCAAACACATGTTATAGGTTAAAGACTTAAAACTGCCTCCTGATTTTGTTATTGCAAACACATGTTTTTTTACCATATGCATTCTGTTAATTTGATGACCACTCAATCAAGAAATTTGAAAAACAATTATATATACCTCTCAAGACATCTATGGAATATGGAGTTTCTAGCATGCACTAAGATCACAAAATAACACTATTAAATATAATAAAAACAAGAAGAAACTTAGAAAAAAAAATCGATATTTTGAGCTACCTATTACATAAAAGGTAGACATAAAATCATAATAAACTTTGAAAATGTTTGAAAATAAAACAAAATTTTCAAACATGTTTTATGTAAGAAAATGGATCCTTAAAAATATAACAGCGTTCGAAAAATATACATGCGTTCAAAAATTTTAGAAAATATTTTTTTTTAAACATGTTTTACTCTGGAAAATAAGATTTAGTCCACTACAAAAAAGTCATTATTTTCGAAGAAGTTTCAGAAACACTTTAGTCAGCTCGAAAATCCAAAATTTTTAACATGTTTTATTTCATAAAACCATATTCCAAAAAGGAGGAATTTCATATATACCCTTCTTAAGTTTTAAAATATCATATTTGTCCGGTCTAAACTCTAAATATCGTATTTGTCCTTTTTAATCTTTTAAAATATCGGATTTGCCCAAATCTATTTTTTAAACATTTTTAATCAGTTTTTTTTATTTTATAATCATATTAATTGATCAAAAAAGTTAATTGACTAAATTTCCCTTCAATATTAAAACCATACATTGGAGCGACCAATTTACCCCTCAGCTATCTATCTAACCTTGATCATCTGAGAATTATGGAGATCGACTCCTTCTAATTGACGTCTTTTATTACACACACACACAATCGCACATACTCTTTATTTATGTGTGAAACCAGTTCGTCAGCCACAATTTAATCTAAGGAAGGTGAAGCAACTTCGGTCGTAACATTAATTGAGGGGTAAATCGATTTTGTTTTTTGGAAGTGTTCATCTGAAAGTGATATTGGGGGTAAATCGATTTGAATTTTGAGAGTAAATCGATTTGTAATTTTGGTTATCATTTTAAAAAATGTGGGTTTTGGTGCTGACTTATTCTTGAAAGTTGAAAGTAGATGGATAATTCTTGTTTGCTCTAGAAAAATCAATGCTAATGTTTGTTTTAACTCATTGCTGATGTGTTTTACTTCGAAGTTATGGAGCTTTGGCTGGTTTTGTTCTTGAAAAATTCAAGCTTATATTGGTGATATATTGAATGTACAATACTAATGTTGGTTCATCTTGAAAGTATATTGTTTTTGTTAGCTGCATTTGAAAGTTTTAATCCTTTGTTGGGCAAATTTCTGGTGCTATCAGCTTTTTATTCTTGAAGTTCATAGTTTCATGGCTTACCATGAAACGATATTGGGTTTTTTTGTTAGCTGTTTTATAGGGTTTTTTTGGTCGTGTTTAGGAAGTTGGGTTATGATTACTGATTGATTACTAACTTTCTAGGTAAAGTGTGTTTATTATATAATATGATTGTTAATCTAATGGGTTTTTTTATTTTTGTGTGATCACCAGATGTATTGGAATTTAGAAGCAAGGGCATTATTGTCCATTTAATATGTTTTTTCAATTATAATGATTTAAAAATATGAAAAAGACTTATAAATAAATAAAAATTATCAAAAAAATAGATTTGGGTATATATGATATTTAAAAACATTAAAAAGAGTAAATCTGATATTTAGATGTTAGGCTGGGTAATACGATATTTAGATGTTTAGTAAGGGTATATACAAAATTCTCCATTTCAAAAATTATTATTTTCAAATACTGTGTTTATACGGGTTTTTATTTTTGAAGAAAATATGTTTATTTAAAAAAATAGTGTTTGTGAAATATGGTCATCAGGGTTAATATACATAGATTTAAACGTTACTTTCCTTATAGAAATAATATATAAAGGGATAATGACTTGAAAGGGTAACGGACTTTCGGCTTTGTTCACATTTAGTCACTAAACTTTTTTTCATTATCTATTTGCCACTGAGCTATTGAAACTGTTCACATTTTACCCTTATGACCGGTGACAACCGGTCATAAGGGTAAAATGTGAACATTTTCAATAGTTTAGTGGCAAATAAAGAATGAAAAAAAGTTTAGTGACTAAATGTGAACAAAGTTGAAAGTTTGTTTCCCTCTAAAAAAAGTTCAATGACTAAGGTGCTGTTTGTTTTTTTGAATCATAAATTCATTAAGTCTGCGGACCACCTCTGCAACCCTCTGCAGTAGAAGAGGTGTACCAAACGGCTGCAGATTGTAATAAGAAACGTGTTTGTTTTTTTTTAACATCTGTATCTTGCTGTAGATATTAAAAAAATAAAATAAACTGATTTTATAAACCAAAAATAGTTTTTTAATACTGAAAGTTTAATAATGTATGACATTTCAGCAAGAATTTATGATGTTTCAGCAAAAAATAATAATATTTCAACAAAAAAAATAAATATATATATTTAGCAAAAAAATAATGATATTTCATTAAGAAATTATCATTATTCAATATAAAAAAACAAAAAAAAAACTCAACAAGAATAAAAACAAAAAACGAAAAAAAATGTAAAATAAGATTTTAATAACATATAATCAAGATTTCAGCAAGAAAAAAGAAGAAGAAGAGGTTGGAAAAGGTAATACAAGTGTTGCGCCAAACAGAACACGCGCACATGTTTTTAACTCTGAAGACTTCTAAAAAACAAACTACTGCGAGATTAAAAGTGTTGCGCGTGTGCTGCGCCGTGCAGCAATAAGTGGTCTGAAGAGGTTTTTTACAAAAAAAAACAAACAACACCTAAATGTGAACAAACTTCCTCTTGTATTATGTTTTAGCAAATTATTTATTTTTGTTAAATTTTAGCAACATTTGTTGATGAAGAAATCTATGAAATAAAAAAACAAAACCCCGAAAAATAGATTAAAAAAAACAAAAAACCGAAACTAAAATAAAAAACCAATGGTTTGGTATTTTCCAATATAAAAAATCAAAATTTTCAATTTGATTTTGGTTTAACAAAAAAAATGAACCATTCTCAACCATAGCACCGTTTTAATTGTTGAATATATAGCTATTTTTTTTTCTAAAAAAATATATTTGTAAAGGTAATATGGATGAGGTGGTTTGGGCGCAACACTTCATAAAACATATTAACTGTTTTACTTAATTCTATATGTCTAGTTAAATAATCATAAATTTCAATAATTATTCAAACTTTTTAAGAAAATACAATCTCAAATATAAATCAATTGTCCGGGTAAATTAAAAATGTCTAAATTCTAAACAACTTGATTTTCATTTTCGATATCCTTTTTAATAGTAAATATACTAATATGATGTATGTCAATACATGGAGTATAACGGCATATATAATGTATCAATGTATGTATGTATTATTTTATAAACAACGTATATGGTTTAATGTGTGTCAATTTATGTGGTGCATAATTTTATAACATAGAATTCATACATATAGTATTAGGATAATTTTTATACATATAATATTGCATAGTTTTATAACATAAAACTTATACATATAATATTGGTTTCGTTTTTCGTTTTTTATACCTTTTTCGGGGGGGGGGGGGGGGTTATTTCATAGATTTCTTAATCAACAAATGTTAAAATTTAACAAAAATACATAATTTGATAAACCATAATACAAGATGAAAGTTTGTTCACATTTAGTCATTGAACTTTTTTTAGAGGGAAACAAACTTTCAACTTTGTTCAAATTTAGTCACTAAACATTTTTTTATTATCTATTAGCCACTGTTACCGGTCATAAAGGTAAAATGTGAACAGTTTCAATAGTTCAGTGGCTAATAGATAATGAAAAAAAGTTTAATGAATAAATGTAAACAAAGTCGAAAAATTCGTTACCCTATCAAGTCATTATCCCTTATATAAAAGATATAACAAAATAGTACAAAAATCAAATTTGTGGGCAGAAATATATTTTGAAAGAAGAAAATGATATTTAACGCTAACACATTACTTTCCCTAGAATCTATGCCTATTCCCAAATTAATATGGAGTGGACCTGAGATGCAAACGGAGAATCGTGAACCATTTCTTCCTTACACGATTTTCCCTTTTCGCTTTCTTTATATGCACCATTCGTTTTTGTAAGATCTTTATCACGTTTTTTAGCGTCCATGTTATTCTTATCCCAACATTAAATACACCCAGTCCCACATATATAACTACATACCAACTATATCAATTTTTGGATAACATATAATAATGCTTCATTTGTTCTCAGACAACCAGACATGTAAGAGTATTTATACCGCACACCACGGTGAGGTGAGTTGTTACAGCGATGATGCAGTAAACACCACATCACCAGGTGTGGGGTGGTACGGTAACCCTTTCTGCACAACATTGTTTCGCCACCCCTCTTCTCTATTTTATCTTTTTTTACATGCTTCTTGATCTTATACAATCATCACTCATTGTTGTATATTTTGCATATTTTCAAGGGAGTTATATGTGACAATTTCCTATCACTAAGAATGGTGAAAAGAAAATAAAAAGGTGTTTGGCAAAAAAATGAAAAATGATGAACCTAAACAATTATTTATATAAATATAACATCTATCATCTATTGTAAAATAAGAAAATCAATAAAACATGATAAAAATGGTTAAAGATCATCAAAGTAATTAAGATCATTTTATAATGTTCATAAGAACTTATAAATAATTTATAATTTTAAAGATTTAATGATTTGTAATAATACCGGATAGTTTAAATAAAAACAAATGCACCTGTGACATGTATATAAAAGAGTTGTGTAGAGTGTTTTTTTTTTCAATCAAATCCAAAATCTCCCAACGTTTTGTTCTTTCAAGAAAAAGGACATGTCAGGTATGGGTAACTCCTCCAGAGCGACGTCGTCGTTCGATGAACAATCAATTCACGGCGATGTACTGGAGGCCATCCTCTCCTACGTCCCACTAGTACACTTACTTCCGGCGTCTGGTGTGTCAAAGTCGTGGACCGCCGCCGTATCATCGGCCCTTCGCACATCCACCAACACCAAACCATGGCTAATCATCCACACACAGAGCTCTAGGCACCCGTTCTCCACAACCAGTCACGCCTACGATCCGGAGTCAAACATGTGGATCGAGATCCGACAACCGGCGATCGGTTACGTATCTACACTTCGATCATCTCACTCGAATCTTCTCTACATGTTGTCGCCGTCGAAGCTCTCGTTGTCTTTTGATCCGCTTCACCTGACTTGGCACCACGCGGTGGCGCCGAAAGTCTCGCGGATAGATCCTGTTGTAGCCGTTGTAGGCAGCCACGTTGTGATTGCAGGCGGTGCCTACGACTTTGAGGACGATCCTCTCGCCGTTGAGGTTTATGATCTCGAGTCACAGCAATGGACTAAATCGGATCCAATGCCCGAGTTTTTCAACGGATCCGCCGCGTCATTGTGGCTCTCGGTTGCTTCCGGTGATCCTCATATCTTCGTCATGGAGAAAACTTCCGGTGTAACGTACTCGTTCAATCCCAATAACAATACGTGGTCTGGACCGTACGATCTGCGTCCCGATCACCGCGTTTTTTACTCGGTTATCGGATTCTCCAACGACCGATTGATTGTCATCGGGATGTTGGGTGATGCTGAGGATGTTGACGGAGTGAAGTTCTGGGAAGTGAACTGCGAGTCATTCGAATTCGATGAAATTGGGGAGATGCCGGCGAATCTCCTCGAGAATTTGAAGAGCCACGATTCGCAAATTTCCTCCATCGACGTCTCTATGGTGAGTAACGCGGCGTATGTATACATCTCCTCGCGAGCTGAAGAGATATTCATGTGTGAGTTCATCGACGGCGGGGGATGTAGGTGGCGCAGCGTGGCGAATACGTCTGCGAATGGCCGGAGTATAATGGATAAATTAGTTTTTACGTGCTCGAAGATAGGGATTGAGGAGCTGCAACGAGCAACGAGGTCAGAGAATCGGAAGTTCGTCTTGAAACGGTGAGTCATTGTTCAGTTGACTCGGTGTAAATTCGTGTTTAATCTTATTTTACTTTTGTATTATTGTATGTTTATAGTGTCATAATTCATAAGTATATTCTTTTTTAAAACTTGTTTTACAGTTATTCTATATATATATATATATATACATACAATTTTTTTAGGGATTGAAACTTATAGAATCAACCAATTTAAATTGAAAATGCTGATAATCCAAAAATTGTATGAAAATAAAAATTAAAAACAAAAAAAACTGTGAAAAAAAAAACGTTGTATAAAAGTTATAAAAAGAATTAAAGTTAGTATAAAAGATTGTATTCTTTTCAAAAAAAAAAAATAGAAAAAATTGGTAGTAAAATTCATTGTGAGGTATTAAAGCTGAAAGGAGGAGTGGTAGCACTCTTAGGCTTGAGGGAGTGGACTCGCCACCCCTCTCGCCTCTATACTCGCCAAGAGTGCCAGCTCCACTCCCATTAAAATGTTAAAACACTTGCTAAGAATGTCTCGCCATAAACATGACGAGAAGAGAGAAGAGAGAGAAACTTCAATGGTGGGTTTTTATTGGCTAAAATCTTTTTCTTTTTTCTTTTTTAATATTTTTTTTCCAATATAAAACCAATTAAACTAATGCATCACCACTCCCTATCTTTTGCAATTTGGATGCCACAGCTTTTTTTCATCCTATGTGGCTTCAAAAAATTTGACATGACATCAAAAAATCGGATGTGGCAACATGCTAAGCATGCTACCACTCCCTTCAGCCTAATAATATTGTCAAGTAGGATTTTCTTTTTATTATTTTTTTTTTTTGAATTTAATATGTCTGGCATAAAAAATATAGAGAGTGGTATTGTATTAATTTAATAATTATGATTTTAGATGAAAAAAAAACAATAGCCAAGAACCAAACAGAAGCCACCAATACATCTCTCTCTTCTCTGCTTGGGAGCCCCTTGCGCAAGACAAGGACGGTGTTCCGCATCGTTCTTAGTGAGCGTTGGCGAATGACAAGGACGGTGTTCGAGCGAATGGGTTGGTGACCTCACTCCCCGAACATCTCTCTCTTCTCTGCTTGGGAGCCCCTTGCGCAAGACAAGGACGGTGTTCGACATCGTTCTTGGTGAGCGTTGGCGAATGACAAGGACGGTGTTCGGGCGAATGGGTTGGTGACCTCACTCCCTGAACCCTAAGTGGTCTAATAGCGATTATACTATATAGACTAGGTTGGGACTATTGGTCGAATGGGTTGGTGATCTCACTCCCTGAACCCTAAGTGGTCTAATAGCGATTATACTATATAGACTAGGTTGGGACTATTGGTCGAATGGGTTGGTGATCTCACTCCCTGAACCCTAAGTGGTCTAATAGCGATTATACTATATAGACTAGGTTGGGACTATTGGTCGAATGGGTTGGTGACCTCACTCCCTGAACCCTAAGTGGTCTAATAGCGATTATACTATATAGATTAGGTTGGGACTATTGGTCGAATGGGTTGGTGATCTCACTCCCTGAACCCTAAGTGGTCTAATAGCGATTATACTATATAGACTAGGTTGGGACTATTGGTCGAATGGGTTGGTGATCTCACTCCCTGAACCCTAAGCTAAGCGGTCTAATAGCGATTATACTATATAGACTAGGTTTGGGACTATTGGTGACCCCAGTCCATGAAGCCTATGTTTGTCTACTTATATTTGAAACAAATGACTACAGACTATATAGATTAGGTGGGGACTATATTTTAAACAAAATTGATTTATAGCTTCTTTGTAAAAAAAATGTTTAGATCATATTTATACCAAAATTTAATATTTAAGATCAATTTTTAACAAAATTTAAAATATCGATCAAAATTCAAAAGTATAAAATTGAAAATAATAATAATAATAATAATAATAAAGAACATGGTATATTTAAATGAATATCGAATGATTAAGAGTAAATTATATGAATGGTCCCTAAGGTTTTGGATAATTTGCACGTTTGGTCCCTATCTTATTTTTAAACTTGTAATGTCTCTATTGTTTGTTTTTGTTGCGCGTTTGGTCTCTGTCTTACCTAAAAAGACTACTTTGCCATTGATTTTTTAATTTTATTTAAATAAGGTGGGATAGGTAAGGTAATATAAGATGAGGTGAAGATCGGGTTGGGTGAGTGTTTATTTAAATAAATAAAAAAATCAATAGCAAAATAGTCTTTTTAGGTAAGACATGGACCAAACATGTAACAAAAATAAACAGTAAGACTTTCCGAGTTAAAAAAATAATAAGTGATGATCAAACGTGCAAATTACACCAAACCATAAGAACCATTCATGTAATTTACACAATGATTAATTTCTCAAAAGTCTTTTTGTTTTTGATAGATTATTATCCCACTAACTTAGACAAAAGTTTTTATTAAATAAGTTCTTCATTGGTTAATGTTTTTTTTTAAATAATCATAATAACTAATTTATCTTTTATCAATTTTAAATGTTTTATTAAGCCTCGTTATAAGATTTATAATTTTACTAACATATATCATATTTTTAGTGTAAAAATAACATTACTTGACATTATAATTAAAATAAATACAAATATTACAATACAAATATAAAAACTTTATTTGACATTAAAAGTAAAATAAAAAAAAACTATATTACAACACAAATATCTGAATCCATATTTTTCTTATATCTCATCTCATAACATTTGATGATGCTCAAGTTGTCTGTCTGTCATGCATTTCACATTCTAAGTTACAATCCTTATTTCTTTGATCCTTTTTGATGACTTGAACGAATCTTTCATGCTATTCATGTACTCCGATACTATATCAATACAAGACATATGAAAAGAGTTAGTTTTAATAATTAAAACTAAAAAAATGACTTTTTGGGTATTTATTTTCAAAACTATAAAAGATGATAAAGTTTTCATATCTATAGTTATAAAACTATAAATAAAAATGATAAAAGATTAGGTAACCACAATGATTTATAATATTTGATCATATTTAAAGTTTTGACAAATATTTTTGAATTATATGATTTTTTCATGAAATATATAATTTTTACTTTGTAATCAAATAGATTGTAGTAGAGCGGTATTAAGTGTTGGTGGAAAGTTGATCATCAGCCAAATGTTGATGGTTGAAGTCTTGTTAGAGAAAAAATAAATAGTTTTGAAGTAGTGTATGAGGGTTTGTTTGTCGGTCCAAAAAAAACAAAAAAACCTAGATTTAAAGCCTAAAAAGATCTAATATCTAAATACAATTAGGGTATAAATTAAAACATTTCTAAATATAGAATCAAATATGACAACCTAAAAAAATTAAAATGTTGTATGGAGTAACCCTAAAATAATTATTTTTTTCTCCGACAATAAAACTCAAATAGTAAAAAGTTTTATGAAAAAATATCATTGGCGATGCTCTAATATATTATGCACAAATCAAGTAAAAAGTTTATCATCTTTTTATCTAATAAAATTGGTTTGTTAACAATTTAAAGATATTATTTTCTTTTCTTCTTAAAAACAGTAGTATTAAATAAGATAGGAACTGTATGTTTTTTAACGCACAGTTATATTTATTTTTAGTATGGATAATGACTTGTAGAGATATCAAACTTTGATTTTTTTACATATTTAGTTATTAAACTTACTTTTATGTTCGATATGTCATTGAACTTATTGAAATTGTACAAAAAATACCAATATAATCGGGTAGTGTTTTTTGTCGGTTTCTAATGTCCTTTCCGGCTAAACATGAATGTTCCATTTGCAACCATAGATCCATTTTTATCATCAAGATCCAATCCTTGTTCATGTTTTCTTTGATCAAGAATTTAGATTTTTGACAAGTCTTATGATCATTGGATAAGAAGGGTTTTATTTTTTTTTTCCAAATGAAAGATTTGAAGACCTATTGATTCTAGCCTCCACATAATTTGCTTCGGGTTAAGCTGACATCTATTATGATCATCATTCAATTCAAGAATCCCCTCGCATGGATCTCTTAGGCTATGTTTGGTGCGCCACAAGCTAGCAAATAAGCTAACTGTAACGTCCCAAAATTCAAGACCAAAAATTTCGTTTTTAAATAAGTTAATGTAAAACCATATGTAATAAAATCGTCAATAATAATGTCTCATGTCAAAACCAGAGCGTCAATAATAAAACATAATAACATAAAACCATATCAGAGTGTAACCCCAATGATATTATGTGCGGAAATCATAATGTGATGCGCTGCGATCAAGCCGGCTCCTTTCCTTTGAAAACAAAGCACCTGGAACCAAAACTGTAAACCGTAAGCACGAAGCTTAGTGAGCTCCCCCATCATACCACATACCACATAATACCATCGGTATCTTTCACGGTATCCGGGGACTATTTCACCCCTACCACTATCACATAATAATATATCATAAACATACTGATCACCTACTAACGTCATAAACGTGCTGATTACATACTAACATATCATAAACAGACAGATAAGCGTTGCATGGGTTCTGTATACCCCTTCGGTATCTTTCAACCGGTAACTGCCATCGGTATCTTTCAACCGGTAACTGCCATCGGTATCTTTCAACCGGTATCCGCCATCGGTATCTTTCAACCGGTAACTAGGGACTATTTCACCCCCTACCACTATCATACAATGACAGGATATAATCATACTTAGCCATATATGGGGTACTGACCTACCCTTCGGTCCTAACAACCGAGTCAGGGAAAAACTATTCCCTGCTACTACCACTAACGCACATATCATATCACATAAGCATATCACATAAGCATGTCTCATAAGCATATCACATAAGCATATCTCATGAGCATACCACATAAGCATATCTCATAAGCATATCACATAAGCATATCTCATGAGCATATCACATAAACATACCAAGATAATTATCACAAAGACAATTATCTACCAACTACCCCTGTTGGTGGGCCGACATTGTGGCCTTAGACCCACCCCTACTGGAAGGCAACTCACCTCACACTGCTGAAGTCCTGTAGACATAATCCCACACTGTTGTAGTCCCGCAGACTCAACCCCAGCTGCGATGACAGATTCCCGAACTGTCAATACCAAAATAACACCCAATTAAAAATTGGGTCCCAACACATAACCATAATACATACTTGCATAATTACTATATTACCCCAAGCTTGGCTTATTCAGCCCAAGGCCCAATCCATAGGCCCAAAGTCAACTAAGAATCAAAGCCCCACACATGGCCCAATTTTCCAAATTGGGCGTAGGCCTATACATGGTCTCATTCTAAGGCCCAACATCATATAATCATTAAGGCCCAAACTATGGCCCATCTATGGCCCAATTTTCCAAATTGGGCCCAAACCCCTTACATGGGCCTTACCCTAGGCCCATTAAATTACTCTAGACCATTTGCTTGATCTTGGATAGCCCATTTAATAACCCAATCATCAAGGCCCAATAGAAAGGCCCAACAATAAACCCAAGTGAAGTTAGGGTTTCACATAAAATGATGATTAGGGTTAAGTTTCCTACTTAACCCATTAAGGACTTAATCCATTAAGTCCAATATTGCTTAGATTAATTTCCACCAATGATTATTATTTAATATTCCAAGTTGTTAATAAGTCCCGTGTGTCTCGATTAATTCTCCAAAATTAGGGTTTTGATGGCATTAGGGTTTTCCAAACCCTAATTAGGGTTTCCAACCCAAATACTAGCCCATTTATTAATTTGTTGGGCTTTTAGATCAATTAGGGCTTTATTGGGCCTATTAAGCCCACTAAAATATTATTAAGCCCATTAGGGTTTTATTGGGTCCATTAGAGTCCATTAAGCTTCATTGGGCCCATTTGAGCTTCTTTGGGTCCATTAGGGTTTCAAGCACCCCAACGAATCAACACCACGAGGCAAAGCACATCGCCACCCGACACGGCGGCCGGTGGCGGCAAGAGGCGGTAGCCACCACCCTAGGGTGGTGGTTTCCAATTTCTTTCCATTATTTCGCTTTTGAGTTACAATTACAACGAAAATACCAAAGCACACACACACACTAACTAAGCTAAACATACACACACAAACCACCTTGAGGTGGCCGACGGTGGTGCATGGCGGCAGCCACCACCTCACGGTGGTGGTGGGGGCCTTTCCTTCATTTTTCCGGCCAAGTTACATACACATACATGCTTCTGATTCACGAGGTGCACTCCAGCCATCGATCTAGCGGCGTACGGCAGCGGTAGAGTACTCACGAGTGGCGGCAACAGCCACAACGGTGGTTTAAGGCGGCGTTGCAGCAACGAACCGGAGAAGAGGAAGCTTTTGCGACGTCACAGCCACGTTCCAGCTCTTTCTGGCTTCTCCCGACGTCCTCATCGTTCCTTTCGTCGCTTCACGATCTTCACCGGTGACGGCCTTTTCCTCCTGATGGCAAGAGCTGGTCAGATGCATCCCAATCGTGACGAGCCCTTGGTGACGGCGCCGGCGGTCGTAAACCGTTGTGTAGCTGCAGGAGATCACGGAGGAAGCGATAACATCAACCACAGCAAACGCAACCTCCGATCATCACGACTGGAAGCCGACTCCCCCCCTTCCTCGTCAGCGGTGAGACGACGATGGCGCTCCTGGTGGTCTTCGGCTTCGACTGCGGCGGTGGCGACCTCAACGGAGGTGGTGGAGCGGCGTCGGAGATCGTGAGAGTGGAGGTGGCGGCTGGAGATCTCCAATGATAGCGGTTGCACCCTCTTAGCTAGGGTTAGGGTTTGCTGTGACATATATACCCGCCTCCACACCAAACTTGTTACCATAATGGCAAGACTGATCCCTCCCATGACATTTTCTTTCAAAATAAGGCCGTATTTTACAAAGCAGCCCCCCAGCATCCAAAATCCTTTCACAATCAGTCCATAAGTTACCATCTGAACCCCACCATCTAAAACCCTTTTCAAATTAGGTACGCAATTTACCAAACAGTTCCCCAATGTCTTAATTATAACATATTCAGCCCCTCCACCTCATTTCTTTTAAAAATAATTCTCGGTAATTACCACAGAGCCCCTGTCTTCATAAATATTTATAAAATGAGACCCAAACTCATGCTTTTAACCCCCGACTTCTAAAAATGTGGCAATTAACTCCTCGAACCCAACGCCCTGCATATATAATTATTTATTTTGGGCTACCATTCGTTCATTAATTTATTTATTTAACTAATAAATAAAAGAGTGTTACAACTCTCCCCGACTTAAATTAGATTTCGTCTTCGAAATCACTCCTTACTTTCTCTTACACACCCAACCACTCTAGTAACATGGTCACCATCCCAGAGTACACCCTAGCCTTCCCAGGGTAGCTGTGACCAATCTCCGCAAGGCCCTAAAATCTATAGGTGAACGGATCTCTCGCAACAAGTTCACTTCCACTTTGTCTGAATTTGTTGTCTCGAGATTGTCTGAATCCCTAACAGACCACCCATTCTGAATCATCATCGACGAATCCAGTCTGTTTATCCATCAACTGTCTAATCAACTTCTGATAGTTCGAGGTTCCCACTATAAAACAGGATCACAGAACTAATTACCCCTGCATATCACTTCTTCTTGGCCAAGGCTCGTCTAATCCCGCTGTGAGTGACTTGTCACTTCCTAATCAACCAGTTATTCCGTCTGTACTTGCAACCTAAATTCACAAATACTAATACTGCCCAGACACTGAAACTACCCGAACACTGAACTGCCTGAAGCAGTATGTTGCCACATGGCTGCTTTTCAAAATCTAACGAGACCTCCCTGGTCTCAATCCGTTCCTAATCATCTGAGACACCAGGTTCCGGCCCGGCTGCGGAGCCAAAGGGCTCCTTACTTAGTCGACTTCTGAACGAAATCCTTCTCTGGAACTAGTTGCCACTAGTTATCATGCCACTGTGGCTCTAACAACCTCCTGATCCAACCGATCGGGTCCATACGTCGAATCCTGTCATCATCAAATCCAAGGCTGGAAGTGATTACTACCTGACCAATGGTAGCCTTATCTCACACGCAATCTTATACAGCCCATTGCTTTCCTGATCCCATAACTGTAGTGGCGCTCCTACAGTCCTATTACTGGCTCAACCAGATCTAATCCATCTGGGTAATTCCGAAATCCAATCCGTGGATTTCCTTATCCTTACTGCTACACCCGAACTGGTGGGTACTACTGTTCCTTCTGCGTCCTAACAACGCACTCACACTATCTACTAACCTAGTGAATGTTGCGGCTACACCCGCAGTCTCACAGCACTCTATCACCATCTGACTGCTAGTGAATGCTACGGCTACCCCCGTAGTCTTACAACACTTTCCATACTATCTGATTGCTAGTGAATGCTACGGCTACCCCTGTAGTCTTACAACACTTTCCATACTATCTGACTGCTAGTGAATGCTACGGCTACCCCCGTAGTCTTACAACACTTTCCATACCGGTCGAACACGCACTCGACCTAACACACAACTGAGCTTGAATCCTAACCGGAACTCTAACCTGGTTCCCGAACCCTGCCATCACGTGACCCCACTGTATCAGTACCGCACCCATGCCCATGATCAAAGCGTCACAGTAACCCAGGAAATCATCTACACCCTCTAGCATGGTGAGAATAAGTGCCTCGCACAACCACTGTCTGAGAGTCTCGAAGGCTACCTGCTGCTCAGGCCCCCAACGAAAGGCCACCGACTTCTTGGATGGATACCTCGGAATCTCCCACTACATCACAACCTCTATCTTGGCCGGATCGACTTGAATACCCTTCTGGTTGACAAGGTGCCCAAGAGATTGCACCCCGCGCAACCAGAACTCACATTTGAAGGACTTTATAAAAAGTCTCTCCCCCACTTAGATTCGACTAAGCCTTCACAGCACGCGAGAATTGAAGGGTTCTCAATCCTTCTCGCTTTCTAGTATCCCACAGATGACAACCTGTGCCTACCAATGCTAATGTTTAATCACCGATTAAACCTTAAGATCGCCCATCCTCTGAAATATTGAGGAGTACTCTTGGAATCTGGTCCAATCTAACACTTCAATCCATCTCCCGTGCTGACACTAGAGGCCTTAATCTTCACTCTGGCTGACGAGTCCTCGTTCCCACTTCCAATCTCACAGTACCACTGAACACTAACTTCACTGGAGAATTATCGCTCTAACCCTAATTGAGGATCTTCCAAACAATACTCCTGCACAGATCTCGACAAAGATCCGGAATGATAACGGTACACGCGGAACCCACTCCGCAAGGTACGTCCCTCTGTGGGTTCATCAAGGACCTTTCGGCATGCTGGATGGCATATATGATCCTTGATAACCCAAACACTAGCAGAAAACCGACCCGAGATCTGACTTACCCAAACTCGCTCACAATCCCAAAGCGATACGTATTCCCATCATCCATTTATTAGCAGTAGAAGATGACATACCCTCAACATCTGGAGGAATACCGATCACCTCCAGCTGACATGATCAACCCAGCCACACCTGTAGCAGCTTAAACCCCTGGAGTGACAAACTCCCTTGTGTACTTTCTCGTACGTGTTGCACTGACCCCGACCTTGCTGGCCTTTCACCCGATGATCGGAGGTCATGGATCTCCCCTCGGGACCTTCTACCATACACACCTGGCACGAACCTCTCTTATCAAAGTGCTCCAAATCGATCTCGCATTTTCACCCTCTTGGAAATCATATCCTTCAGGGCCTGACACCCTGTCACGCTCACTAGCTCGCTTGCCAATGGCTAAGCTGTAACAACTGGAACATCCTCTGTCCCCAAACCGGGTCACAAACTTCTCCCTGAAGCTTCTCAGATTCTCCAAGACTCTCGCTGATTCGAGTATGGATCCTGTGCTTACAGTAGTACGGGCCCAATACTACCTTCCACACCTATCCATACTTTCCTCAGTAATCCTCCTGAATCCTCCAAGTCACTTCCTCAAACTGGTACCCTGAATGCTCGCTAACAGCGCAACCAAACCCACTAAAGCACTTCCTAGGATTTCCTAGGTTCCCGTACTCACCCAGTCCTCAGCTGCTAAAGGACTTCCCACCAATGTCAACTTGCTACCTCATGAATATAGCCACTCGCGACTTAGCATATTCACTTAGTAGCTAGCTCACATTACTAAGAGTCCCTCAAAGCACAAGGCAAGCAGCATTCAGACAATGGAAAATCTAACCAACATATTCCAATAAGATCAGTCTATCCTCTTGCCAGGGATCTATACTAGCATGCGATTCTAAGGCTCACACAGTCAGGCATAACCTAAACAGGCTATCTTATCACTAACTGATCATTACTATCATGTAGCTCAACAAGCACAAACAGCAGGCATATAAGGCATCTTCCTAGATCCTTAACCCTAATCTAACATGCAGTTCTCATCATCATATCATATCATAACATAACATGTATGGGTATCTTCGGGAAAACTTACTTGAGCTCGGCTGATTGCACGCATCACACACCTTGTTCTCTTCAAAGTTCTTTTCTCCTTCCAAATTCTTTTTAAATTATTTTTATAAAAATGATTTTCTTTTGAAAATTTTCATGCCAAGCCCTCAGTTTGAGTTCAGATACACCCGAGAGTATGCCCGAATCCCTCAAACCAAGGCTCTGATACCAACTTGTAACGTCCCAAAATTCAAGACCAAAACTTTCGTTTTTAAATAAGTTAATATAAAACCATATGTAATAAAATCGTCAATAATAATGTCTCATGTCAAAACCAGAGCGTCAATAATAAAACATAATAACATAAAACCATATCAGAGTGTAACCCCAAGGATCTTATGTGCGGAAATCATAGTGTGATGCGCTGCGATCAAGCCGGATCATTTCCTTTGAAAACAAAGCACCATAAACCAAAACTGTAAACCGTAAGCACGAAGCTTAGTGAGTTCCCCCATCATACCACATACCACATAATACCATCGGTATCTTTCAACCGGTATCCGGGGACTATTTCACCCCTACCACTATCACATAATAATATATCATAAACATACTGATCACCTACTAACGTCATAAACGTGCTGATTACATACTAACATATCATAAACAGACAGATAAGCGTTGCATGGGTTCTGTATACCCCTTCGGTATCTTTCAACCGGTAACTGCCATCGGTATCTTTCAACCGGTAACTGCCATCGGTATCTTTCAACCGGTATCCGCCATCGGTATCTTTCAACCGGTAACTAGGGACTATTTCACCCCCTACCACTATCATACAATGACAGGATATAATCATACTTAGCCATATATGGGGTACTGACCTACCCTTCGGTCCTAACAGACGAGTCAGGGAAAAACTATTCCCTGCTACTACCACTAACGCACATATCATATCACATAAGCATATCACATAAGCATGTCTCATAAGCATATCACATAAGCATATCTCATGAGCATACCACATAAGCATATCTCATAAGCATATCACATAAGCATATCTCATGAGCATATCACATAAACATACCAAGATAATTATCACAAAGACAATTATCTACCAACTACCCCTGTTGGTGGGCCGACATTGTGGCCTTAGACCCACCCCTACTGGAAGGCAACTCACCTCACACTGCTGAAGTCCTGTAGACACAATCCCACACTGTTGTAGTCCCGCAGACTCAACCCCAGCTGCCGGATGACAGATTCCCGAACTGTCAATACCAAAATAACACCCAATTAAAAATTGGGTCCCAACACATAACCATAATACATACTTGCATAATTACTACATTACCCCAAGCTTGGCTTATTCAGCCCAAGGCCCAATCCATAGGCCCAAAGTCAACTAAGAATCAAAGCCCCACACATGGCCCAATTTTCCAAATTGGGCGTAGGCCTATACATGGTCTCATTCTAAGGCCCAACATCATATAATCATTAAGGCCCAAACTATGGCCCATCTATGGCCCAATTTTCCAAATTGGGCCCAAATCCCTTACATGGGCCTTACCCTAGGCCCATTAAATTACTCTAGACCATTTGCTTGATCTTGGATAGCCCATTTAATAACCCAATTATCAAGGCCCAATAGAAAGGCCCAACAATAAACCCAAGTGAAGTTAGGGTTTCACATAAAATGATGATTAGGGTTAAGTTTCCTACTTAACCCTTTAAGGACTTAATCCATTAAGGACTTAATCCATTAAGTCCAATATTGCTTAGATTAATTTCCGCCAATGATTATTTTTTAATATTCCAAGTTATTAATAAGTCCCGTGTGCCTCGATTAATTCTCCAAAATTAGGGTTTTGATGGCATTAGGGTTTTCCAAACCCTAATTAGGGTTTCCAACCCAAATACTAGCCCATTTATTAATTTGTTGGGATTTTAGATCAATTAGGGCTTTATTGGGCCTATTAAGTCCACTAAAATATTATTAAGCCCATTAGGGTTTTATTGGGTCTATTAGAGTCCATTAAGCTTCATTGGGCCCATTTGAGCTTCTTTGGGCCCATTAGGGTTTCAAGCACCCCAACGAATCAACACCACGAGGCAAAGCACACTGCCACCCAACACGGCGGCCGGTGGCAGAAGAAGGCGGTAGCCACCACCCTAGGGTGGTGGTTTCCAATTTTAATTTGTTGGGCTTTTAGATCAATTAGGGCTTTATTGGGCCTATTAAGTCCACTAAAATATTATTAAGCCCATTAGGGTTTTATTGGGTCTATTAGAGTCCATTAAGCTTCATTGGGTCCATTTGAGCTTCTTTGGGCTCATTAGGGTTTCAAGCACCCCAACGAATCAACACCACGAGGCAAAGCACACTGCCACCCGACACGGCGGCCGGTGGCGGAAGGAGGCGGTAGCCACCACCCTAGGGTGGTGGTTTCCAATTTCTTTCCATTATTTCGCTTTTGAGTTACAATTACAACGAAAATACCGAAGCACACACACACACACTAACTAAGCTAAACATACACACACAAACCACCTTGAGGTGGCCGGCGGTGGTGCATGGCGGCAGCCACCACCTCATGGTGGTGGTGGGGGCCTTTCCTTCATTTTTCCGGCCAAGTTACACACACATACATGCTTCTGATTCACGAGGTGCACTCCAGCCATCGATCTAGCGGCGTACGACAGCGGTAGAGTACTCACGAGTGGCGGCAGCAGCCACAACAGTGGTTTAAGGCGGCGTTGCAGCAACGAACCGGAGAAGAGGAAGCTTTTGGGATGTCACAGCCACGTTCCAGCTCTTTCCGGCTTCTCCCGACGTCCTCATCGTTCCTTTCGTCGCTTCACGTTCTTCACCGGTGACAGCCTTTTCCTCCTGATGGCAAGAGCTGGTCGGATGCATCCGAATCGTGACGAGACCTTGGTGACGGCGCCATCGGTCGTAAACCGCTGTGTAAATGCGGGAGATCACGGAGGAAGCGATAACATCAACCACAACAAACGCAACCTCCGAGCATCACGACTGGAAGCCGACTCCCCCCCTTCCTCGTCAGCGGTGAGACGACGATGGTGCTCCTGGTGGTCTTCGACTTCGACTGCGGCGGTGGCGACCTCAACGGAGGTGGTGGAGCGGCGTCGGAGATCGTGAGAGTGGAGGTGGCGGCTGGAGATCTCCAATGATAGCGGCTGCACCCTCTTAGCTAGGGTTAGGGTTTGCTGTGACATATATACCCGCCTCCACAACCAAACTTGTTACCATAATGGCAAGACTGATCCCTCCCATGACATTTTCTTTCAAAATAAGGCCGTATTTTACAAAGCAGCCCCCCAGCATCCAAAATCCTTTCACAATCAGTCCATAAGTTACCATCTAAAACCCTTTTCAAATTAGGTACGCAATTTACCAAACAGTTCCCCAATGTCTTAATTATAACATATTCAGCCCCTCCACCTCATTTCTTTTAAAAATAATTCTCGGTAATTACCACGGAGCCCCTGTCTTCATAAATATTTATAAAATGAGTCCCAAACTCATGCTTTTAACCCCCGACTTCTAAAAATGTGGCAATTAACTCCTCGAACCCAACGCCCTACATATATAATTATTTATTTTGGGCTACCATTCGTTCATTAATTTATTTATTTAACTAATAAATAAACGAGTGTTACACTAACTTATTTTTCGAGTTTTTTATGTTCTCATGTTTGGTAAGCCAAAAAGTAGTTTATAAGGCTAGAGGGAATAGTAAGACTCCTAACATCTTATCATGTCACTTTTTTTTAGTGCTACATCATTTTTTTTGTCTTAGTACCTTATTCTTAGTATTCCATAGGGAGTTATAACACTCTTAACACTCCATTTTTTTTTCAAATTTAATTAAATTGTATTTTTTTAGTACACAAACATTTAATATTACATAAATTTTATTTTTTTTAACACACAAAATATTACATAAATTCTATTTTTTTTAATACACAAACATTTACTATTAAATAAATTCTATTTTTTTAAGTACAAACACTTATTATTTAAAAAAAATGTTGCACTAATTTAAAACATAATATTAAATAAAAAGGTTTCTCTTTTTGGACAAAAAGTACCAAGTTGCTTAAACTTTGGGACAAATAAATACCAAGTTGCTGAAACTTTAGGGATCAAATGTGTAACTTCTTTATCTTCTTCCCCATTTCTTTAGTAAGGAACCCAACAAATTATAACAACAAAAATGGAAGCTTCACACCTTCCAACTGCTAAAAAGGGAGAGATTTTTATGAATTGGTCAAATGTAAAGTGAGATTCCGTCAAAAATAGAAGCACGAATCACTTCAAACCAAACTCTCTCTCTCCTCTTGTTATACTCCTAGCGACTCACCGGTAGCAAGCCCCCTAGCGCGCTAGGGGCGGTGTGCAGTATGCTTAACGAGCGTTCGTAGCAACCGACTCCCTCCAGCCTACGCTAGCCTTTTTAAAAAACTACTTAGAATAGTTTTTTATGAGTTTTTTTTTTAATTTTCAAATATACCCCTTAGTTAATTATAGAAACACATTATTTTAAATGTCATTTTATATTCCAGCTAGCTTTTCAGCTAGTTTTACCAGGCGTTATTATTTATCAGCTGGTTTTTCAGTTATCAGCTAGCTTTTCAGTTAACAACTGGTTTTTTAGCCAGTACGTCAAACATAGCCTTAGTTGTTAAGAAGGTTGCCCAAAATCTGTATACAAGGTAAGGGTGTTGACCGGGTATAACTTTTGGGTTTCGGATAGTCCCGGTAGTTAGTTCAGATTTTTTCAAATAAAAAAAATGATAACAGAACTATATTAAATTCAAGTATTCAGGTATGGGTAATCTGGATATTAGGTTGGGTTCAGGTATATCGGGTATTACCCTGAAAAAATTACTGAAATTATAAGTAAAAAAATTAGCATATTACCAAAATTGTAGGGACCAATTATATAATTATATTATAGCTACAAAAGTTAATTAAAATGTGGTACAGTTTGAAAGTTCTATTGGATTAGGTGTCTAAGCTCATAACTATAATTGATATGTACTTGAATTGTGTAACGCCCGGTTCCTTGTACGTATTTAAATAAGAATTTATTCATATTTGCTAAGGTACTAGACGAGTTGGAGGCTCCAAACTCGTCGAGTAGGAATTGGATATGTGGGACGTGGGACTTGAAGTATACTCGACGAGTCGAGCAGCCTCGACTCGACGAGTAGGTCTGCTAGAGTGAAGCCCTAATTTTCAGGGTTTGCACCCTATTTAAAGGCCTTAACACCCCATTGTGGCCTCCCTCATCGCCTACCTTAGTCCAGAAAACCCTAATTCGAAACCCTAACCCATCTTGAGTGTTCTTGAGCCATTGTTGTGTGTTTTTGGTGGTTTTGAAGCTTGAGAAGGAAGAGGAAGCTTGGGAGTTCAAGAGGAAGCATGTATATCCAGAGGTTGTGTTCCATTTCCAGCTCATTTGAGGTATAAAGTTTATACCTTGTCCATTCATCTAGTAGATCTCTTTTTGGGGGTAGTTTAGGGTTTTAAGGAGCCATTTTTGGAACCATTCATGGATGCAAGCATGTTTGGGGGTTTAGAACTCAAATCCAGGGTCCTTGAGGGACTCCATGGCATAAAGGTGCCAAATTTATGGCCAGAGGAGTCCCATGCATCCTATGAACCACTTTTTAGGGCTTTTTGAGCTAAACAGCCCATGCATGAACGTAAAGTTTGTAACTTTACATGTTATATCGACCCTAGGAGGCCAGATCTATGTTTTGGATGCATTAAGCCTGACTGAAATCGACTGGATAGATTTGGGTCATGGGGGACTCGACGAGTCGTTCTTAGGACTCGGCGAGTCGGGTCGTGGTTCCCGCAACCTTCTCTGTTACTTAGCAACTTGTCGAGTCTAGAAGATGACTCAGTCAGTTAGACGTGTTTTGGACTTAAAGGTCAACAACTCAACGAGTCCAAGGATGAACTCGCCGAGTCAGTGAGCAAATGTCCCGACTGTATGAAGGAGAACTCGACGAGTCCAAGGAAGGACTCGACGGGTTCAAATGGAAAGTCCCGATTCTGTCATAAGGAGAAACTCGGAGAGTTAGAGGGTAACTCGACGAGTTAGATCGTGAATTCGAGATTCTCTTAATTATGGAACTCGACGAGTTGATGGACCAACTCGGCAAGTTGAGTCAGCCAGAATGTTGACTTTGATCAGGGGTTGACTTTGACTCTGACTTTGACTTTGACCATTATCCAAGATTGACCCTTAAAGGGGTTATTAATATAAAGAGTAATTGAAAGAGACTGTTATGTGTAGGAGTTTGAGGAGAGCTGATCCCAGCACCGAGGACAGTTCAGTTATTGCACGACATTGAGGTGAGTTGCCTTCCAGTAGAAGTGGGTCTAAGGCCACAATGTCGGCCCACTAGTAGGAGATGTATGTTAGATGATTGTATTCGTGATAATTGTTTGGTGTGCCGCTATGCTTTATGTGCTAGTATGTTATGTTATAGTATAGTAGTGGTAGCGGGTGAAATAGTCCCCAATTATCGGTTGAAGGAATACCGAAGGGGAGGCCGGCACCCAGATATGCTAGGCATACATGATGAATGTATGTATGTTAGGGTATTATGTAGTAGTAGTAGGGGTGAAATAGTCCCCGTATCCGGTTGAAAGAGACCGAAGGGGTAGGCCAGCACCCAGATATACTAGGCAGTCACCGGTTGAAAGAGAACCGAATGGGTAGGTCGGGCACCCAGATATGCCTGACAGTATGATGTTGTATGGTATGTGGTATGATGGGGGAACTCACTAAGCTTTGTGCTTACGGTTTATAGTTTTGGTTTTAGGTACCTCTTCTTCGACGGGGAAGGAGCCGGCATGACTGTAGCGCATCACACACATGATTTTCCGCATATGAGATTCTTGGGATTTGTACTCTGACATTGTTACTATTTGATGATATGGTTTTGAGACACGTGAACTAGGGTTTTATGAAATAAAATATTTGATGATGTTCTTTTACAAATTGTTTTTATAAATCGTTATATTAAAAATGAAATTTTTGGTCTTGGATTTTGGGATGTTACAAGTTGGTATCAGAGCCTTGGTTTGAGGGATTCAGACACACCTTCGGGGGTGTCTGGACTCAAATCGAGGGTTTGAAAGATTTTTACAAGAAAATAATTTTTCTAAAGAGTAAAATTAAGAGTTTTGAGAAAGAACAAGGTGTGTGATGCGTGCAATCGGCCAAACTCAATTAAGTTTCCCCAAGATACCCACACATGTTATGTTATGATATGATATGATATGATATGATATGATATGATTATGAGAGTTGCATGCTAGATTAGGGCTGAGGATCTAGGAATGCTGCCTTATGTGCCTATTATATGTGTATCAGCTTTACGAGAATTGCATGCTAGATCAGGGCTAAGGATCTAGGAAGATGCCATTTATGCTTGCTATATGTGCTTATTGAATTTCATGCTAGAACTGATTAGTCAGTTATATGATGGCCTGAATAGGATATGCTTGGTTTGGTTACTCAATGCTAGAATGTTGCTTGCTTTGTGCTTTTAGGAGTTCTAGTTATCTTTAACTAACTAGTAAACGAATTCGTTAAGTTACATATTGTGAGGACTAAATAATTTTAGAAGGTTAGGTCTAGCCCTATTGCATTGATGTGAATGATGAGCATTGATTTGGCATGCGGAATTAAAGAACACACAAAGAACATGGTGATTTGGGTGCTAAAAGGTCTATTCGATCATAGTAAATGAGTACAAAAAACGTACTAGATCTAGAACTCCATAAATACCTCGCTCACTAATCACTATGAACTACATCTCTCAAGCACACCTCTATAAGTGGTATGAACCCACCTTATATAGAGGTGT